AGAGTTTCACCGTGTTAGCCAGGATGGTCTCAGTCTCCTGATCTCGTGATCCGCCCGCCTCAGCCTCCCAAAGTGCTGGGATTACAGGCATGAGCCACCGTGCGTAGCCTGTTTGTATTCTGTCACTAAGAAATCTGGAATGAGTTAAATTTCATTTGGGGAAAAATAGAAAATTGCTAAACCACACTAATTTCTAGGGGAGTTTTTTGTTTTCTCCATAGTGATTAGTGAAAAGGAAGAAGTCAGGAGACCTGGATATGAGGCCTAACTCTGCACTTTACTCCTTTGTGATCTTGGGCAGTTGCCCTTTGATGAGTCAGTTTTTCTCATGTACATATAGGCACTCCCACTCCTGGGACTTCAGTGTCCTCACCCATAAAATGGGAAGGATAATGCATCATTATGTAATAAATGGCATTGATAGGAGTGTGTCATGCATACAGTCCCTGTGGAGCCAGAAGAAAGCTTGAGAGCCACTGTTGGTAGTCAACACTAAAGTCAGTCACTTGATAAAGATGATGTTTCTTTGACTTTTTTTATGCATTTAATTTTTTAAAGGGGTCCTCCTATGTTGCCCAGGTGGACTGAAACTCAGAGGCTGAAGTGATCCTCCCTCCTTGGCCCCTTGAATAGCTGGAATTATAGGCAAGCGCCACTGATGAATCCATTTTTCAGTTAGAGTTTGAATTGAGTCTATTTTAGGAAGGCATCTTTAACTGTATAATATATTGCTTAAAAAAAAAAATTGCCATGCTAGAGAATTCCTGCTTTGCTTAAATAAGTGGAGCACACTGACAGGCATAAGCCTGTTTTCTTTAGGTCATTATTCACCTTGTAGCATGTAGATTGGATCACCTATGGACATGGAAAGAGTAAAGGACTTGTCTGAACCTTTTTTGGGTCATTCTAGGGGATCCTTTCAATTATCACAATGGCCAATGGCTGATAGAACTAGAAACCCAGGCCGGATAGAGTGGCCGATGCCTGTAATCCGAGCACTTTTGGAGGCCGAGGCGAGAGGATCACTTGAGGTCAGGAGTTTGAGACCAGCCTGGCTAACTTGGTGAAACCCCGTCTCTACTAAAAATGCAAAAATTAGCCAGGTGTGGTGGCATGCGCCTGTAGTGCCAGCTATTTGGGAGGCTGAGGCAGGAGAATCGCTTGAACCTGGGAGGAAGAGGTTGCAGTGAGCTGAGATGATGCCGCTGTAGTACTCCAGCCTGGGCAACAAAAAAAAAAAGAAAAAAAGAAAATAGAAACCCCCTCAAAAAGGCAGGACCTCTGGTGACTGGAATTAGTTGAAAATGTTTGTTTCTGAATCAACTGTTATTTTCCCTGTTTTTTGTTTGTTTGTTTTTTGTTTTGAGATGGAGTCTTGCTCTGTTGCCCAGGCTATAGTACAGTGGCTCAATCATGGCTCACTGCAAGCTCCGCCTCCCAGGTTCATGCCATTTTCCTGCCTCAGCCTCCCCAGTAGCTGGGACTATAGGCATCTGCTATCATGCCTGGCTAATTTTTTGTATTTTTAGTAGAGATGGGGTTTCGCCGTGTTAGCCAGGATGGTCTCGATCTCCTGACCTTGTGATCTGCCCACCTTGGTCTCCCAAAGTGCTGGGATTACAGGTGTGAGCCACCGCGCCCAGCCTGTTTTCCCGCTTGTTTCCTACTAGCTTTCTTTGATAATACTGTGGGCACTTTGGAGTGGAATGGTCACAGTAAACCCAGGGGATTCAAAGAAAAGAAAGGTTTTTGTTTGTTTGTTTGTTTTTCTACTTCTTGTGTTTTCTTTATTTTAAATTCCTTTCCCTCACCTGGTGATAAATGTTCTGCTTATGATTTACTGTTTTGATCAATTTTTAAAGCCTCATATGTTAAACGACTGGCAAGGCAAGACTGCTGTTAGTTTTGAAAGCAGAAATGAGAAGGTATTTCCCTTGGAGGGAATTTATCGGCTTATTTCTTGAAGTGAGTGCAGACACCGTTCCCCATGGGAACCACCTAGCCTGAGTGCTGTCCAGTTCTTTGTGGTTAGAGCAAATAGCTCTATTGGGCAGCCAGCCTATAGTGGCATCACACTGGCAGGAGTTGGGACTTTGAAGACTTTTACAGTCTCATTTCTGATCAAATTCTACTCTCCTGCAGTAGTTTTTGGTTTTATAGAACTTTCGGAAAAATTTCCCTTTCCTTTAATCATTCCCAGAGCATTGAGAGAAGTATTAAATTACTCCATTATTGACGGAGAGGTTTTAGTCACCCATGTAAGGAGTTCAGAACCAGGCCTTCCCAGTGAGCTGCCATGCTGGTTTGATGTTTTTTTTGTTTTTTTTTGTTTTTTTTTTTTTTTTGAGACAAAGTGTCACTCTGTTATCCAGGCTGGAGTGCAGTGGTGCGTTCTCGGCTCACTGCAACCTCCGCCTCCCGAGTGCAAGCAATTCTCCTGCCTGAGCCTTCCAGGTAACTGGGATTACAGGCGTGCACAACCATGCCGGGCTAATTTTTGTATTTTTAGTAGAGATGGGATTTCACCATGTTGCCCAGACTGGTCTTGAACTCCTGGGCTCAAGCCGTCTTCCTGTCTCGGCCTCCCAAAGTGTTGGGATTATAGGCATGAGCCACCACGCCTGGCCTCCTAATCTTATTGGTCACCTTGCTTAGAAGCAGTTCTTCCATGGATTGATTGGTGAGGTTGGTTACCCTCTTGAACCTTTCTTGTCATCTGTAAGTTGTACTCATGGTGACCGTCTTATTTTGGCTTCCATTTTTTGGGGGGAGGGGATCAAAAAATGGGATTTCCTTAAAATGGCTTTGTGGGGGTATTGTTCTTGAGTTCTGGTTTTAGTCTGATCTGTAAAATGAGGATTACTCACAGACTATAATAGAGGGACAACTATATAGTTTTTGAGTGTTAAAGTGTTTGGTGACTTGATAAATGGCTATCAGATTCCAGGGATGTGACTATACCAGATGTTGGTAAACTGTGGCCCATAAGTTAACTCTGGTCTACAGCCTGTTTTTTTGTGGCCCATAAACTAAGAATGATTTTTCCTTTTTTTTTTTGAGATGGAGTTTCACCCTGTTGCCCAGGCTGGAGGGCAGTAGCACGATCTTGGCTCACTGCACCTCCGCCTCCTGGGTTCAAGCAATTCTGTTTCAGCCTCCTGAGTAGTTGGGACTACCGGCACACGTTGTCATGCCTGGCTAATTTTTGTATTTTTAGTAGACACGGGGTTTCACCATATTGGTCAGGCTGGTCTCGAACTCCTGACCTCAGGTGATTCACCTGCCCACCTCGGCCTCCCAAAGTGCTGGGATTACAGGCGTGAGGCACCGCGCCTGGCCTGATTTTTACATTTTTAAGAGGTTATAAAAATCAAGAAAATGAGAAGATAAACCGCAGACTGGGAGAAAATACTACTTGCAGAAATATCTGTTAAAGGACTGTTATACAGAATATACAAAGAGCTCTTAAAACTCAACAATAAAAAAGTAAAAACAACCCAATTAAAAATACAACAATAAATACAACAATAAAAAAGTAAAAACAACCCAGCCAGGCATGGTTCCTCACACCTGTAATCCCAGCTGGGAGGCTGAAGTGAGATGATTGCTTGAGGCCAGGAGTTGGAGACAAGCCTGGGCAATATAGTGAGCACCCATCTCTGATTTTTTTTTTTTTTTTTTGAGACAGAGTTTCGCTGTTGTTGCCCGGGCTGGAGTGCAGTGGCGCGATCTCAGCTCACCTCAACAACCTCTGCCTCCCAGGTTCAGGTGATTCTCCTGCCTCAGCCTCCGCAGTAGCTGGGATTACAGGCATGCGCCACCACACCCAG